CCCAGGTGAGTCCTATGCACCAGCAAGTTTTGAGAAGCACTGACTTAAGGGCACTTTTAAGAGTGGGGAGCAAAGTGCCAGCATCCCTCCCGCCCCAACTTCTTCATACCCTCCCCCCAAGTACCTTCTCAGATAGTGACTTGCTGCTGGGAGAGAGGGGTTTGGTGAGACCACCCAAGGAGGTGGGTGGAAAAGGGGGCTCTCAGGGAAGGGCATGGCCCTAGGATGAAGGCCGGGTGGGTGCGCACGTCAGCTGAGAGGTCTGGGGCGCAGTGACCTCTTGCCCTGGAAGTGCCCGCTGGGAGAGAGGAGGAGAAGGCAGATGGACACTCTTCTATGCAGGGATGAGAAGGACGCTCCCATGTCAGGACACGCAGACCTGGCTGCCCATTAGCATCGCTAGGAGCTTTATAAACTCCCACGTCCAGTCCCACCTACAGACTCTTTCCGATGGTGGGGATGGAGCCCAGGAACCCTGATGCTCACAGGGCCCAAGTGACACTAACGGATGGCCAGGGTCGAAAACCACTGATGATGGGGAACTGAGATATTAATTATAGAAAATTACGTTAGAAAACACAGGCAGGGCCTGCTCCGCCTGTTCCCTTCCCACGGCTGGCCCTTTCCCTCGCTAACTTCCCCTTGGCAAAGGCTGGTGGGAGGGAGAAATGTGGGCTTGAAGAGTGTAGGTCCTGGGCTTGCAGCAGGCGTTTCGGCTGGCAAATCCATCTCAGTCCTCAGGGTCTGTCGTGATCCACCGCCACACAGTTTGTGACTTCTCTATTTATCTTTGGCAATTTGTTTTTCAAATTTCCTCTTCAATCACTATTTCCCTCTTACCTGCCAGAGTCCCCACTGGGAGTCTCACTTGGAAGTTCCTGTCAGTTGCCTGAATGATACAAATTCATTACTTTGAATTTTTTTTGGACTGAAATTTTAAACTACGCAATCTATCCAAAACCACTTACGTGCATGTGTGTGGGCGAATGTGTGTGAATGTGAGTGTGTGTGTGTGTGTGTGTGTCAGGACCTATGTGTCTGTGTTTCCTATTACTCTACCCTGTGAGTGTTAGAGCAGAGCCCTCCTCCCAACCACAGAAGCTGAAAATGGGAGACATTTCTTCCCTGGTCTCCCTTTCAGCAGGGCACACACTGTGGCCTAGGCTCAGTCAAGTACGTGAAACCCATCTGCATAGTTTGCCTCTGGAGAAGCAGAGACAGCCATACCAGTGCCCAGAGACACCCTCACTGCGCTCACCGTCCAGGGTCTCAGTTACAGGCGAGAGCACAGGGTCCCTTAGCCTCGGTGGTGGACCCCGTAAACGTAGGTCTGTTCTCTGGAAGACTTTTCTTTTCTTTTCTTTTCTTTTAGGTTCTGGAAATTTAACCTCCACTTTCTGAGCCTGGCTGTCCAGCTCTCATAGGAATTTCATGAGCTACCAAGCAATATTTTCCAGAGAAATGCTTTTCTGGCGGAAGGAGAATCAGGTTCTGTTATGTGCAATGTAGACTGGACAGATATGTTGCCTAACACCTGACAAGTTAAAAAATATTGTGGCAATAAAAGTAGGATTGAAAAAATAATATCTACTTCTAGTCCAAATGGGACAAAATTTATCTTCCTGCTTGAGGCAACCAGAAAACTGGAGCCTGTGGTCCGGAGAGAAGGGAGCAGCTGCCGGCTTATTGATGGCGCAGTTTCCAGGCCCCAGAGGAGAACATTCTCCAGGAAAGCCACCTTGTTCCACGCAGTTTTTCAACAGCCAACGTGTCTCATGATGACTTCGAACGCGGCAGCCCCCTCGCTCCCCGTGGCAGGAGGGCACCTAACAAGCAAGCGCTTTAAACACTGGAACTTTCCCTGTACATGTAAGGAAGCTCTTTTATGGGGCTCCTGGCTCTGTCTTAAAATGTTTCACAGCGGTGGATTCACTTCGCCATTAAAAGACAGAAGCATAAAAAAGTCCAAGTCCAGCAAGGTGAAAAGGATCTTGCAATGCTGTCTTCCACCTTGGGCCCCATGTTGAGTTGGCGAGGCATGTGGCCTGTGGCCATGCATGAAGCAGGACCTCGGGCCAAAGCGTCGCACTTGCAGAGATCAAACTGTCCCATCACAAGGACGATTTGCTAAACTTGAGAATCAGCAGGCCCCTTTGGGTCTTGAATCCACTGGCAAGATCCCACTGACTGTTCTCTGCGCTCCCTGGCAGGGGCTCTAAATGACAGCCTGATTCTGTTAGGATCCGATTTTCCCTTAGTGAGAAGTCAAAGTCAATCTCTCTGCCTTTAAATCCACTGATCTAATCAGGAGCTCTTGAAATTGACAGCCAGGACGGCGGGGGACTGTATACCCAAGCACAACAGACAAACCGGATGCCGTGGAGGATATCAAGCATGTCAGCGCAAAACAGAAAAATAACAGAAGCAGCTCCCAGTGAACCTCGGGGGGTGGAGAGGGGGTGGAGGCGGCTCAGATGTTTCTATGTCAATGCACAAATCACCTTGAGATTTTAAAGAAGGCGAGAATTCTTCCTCCTAGGTGGGCTCGAGGAACACAACTTACAAAGGAATGTGGCCATGGAAGATTGTATGTTTTTCCCAAATATGAATATCTAGTAAAAATCCCGCAGTGTGGATATTGACAAAATGATTCTAACTTTTATATGGAGAGAAAAAAAGACTTAGAAAAACCAAGATAATATTGAAGGAGAACAAAGTTGAGGGCTGACACTCCTGCTTTCAAGACTTGCTATAAAGCTACAGTAATCAAGGCCTGTGGTATTGGTGAAAGAACAAACAAATGGATCAATAGAACAGAAGAGGAAGCGAAGAAATAGTCCCCCATAAATACAGTCAACTCATCTTTGAAAAGGGAGCAAAGGCAAACATAATGGAACAAAAGCAGCCTTTTCAAAACAAATGGTATTAAGACAACTGAACAGCCACATGCAAAAACATAAATCTAGACATAGGCCTTTTACCCTCTATAAAAATGAACTCAAAATGGATGACAGACAGACCTAAATGTAAAATACAAAGCTATAAAAGTCCTAGAAAATACCACAGGAGAAAAATCTAGATGACCTTGGAAACAGCTATATCTTTTCAGATAAACACCAAAGGCGTAATTCATGAAAGAAATAATTGATAAGCTAGAATTCATTAAAATTCAAAACTGCCCAGTGGAAGACAAAAATCAAGAGAAATAAGCAGCCACAATTGAATGGCGCCAGCTGAGTGAAACACGTCAGGGCTCTTAGGTATCTTTGTAAAGATTGTTTCAGAATGATAGGCATGTTCAAAGAATTACCAGAAAGTTTCTCCGCCGTAAAAGCTTCTTGGTAGGTTACCTTAACCAACTGTAGATCCCAGGAAGAAGACAGGATAAAGTTGTGACCCACTATGTTTATATTCCATTTTAAGTTAAGGGAAGAAAAACCTATTTGTTTGTTTTTGGGTTGTTGTTTTTTTAAGAGTTTATTAAAGGGCGCAAGAGGATAATGTTTTTAGAAAGTAGCTTATCTTTTTTTTTTCTTTCACTTTGCTGATCTCAACAGGATGAGGGCAGTATGGTTGCAATAGCCTATTTGAGTAGAGAAAAAGGATGGCCTGGCAAGCCGCCCCCCACAGATCACTCCTGCTGGCCCTTAACCAAATCAGGAGTTCCCTCAGAAGTCACGGCCCAGGTGCTCAAGGGGTGCGTGTCTACTGGGAAAACCAAAACACCCAACAGTGGGTGATGTTTATGGAGCGCATGCTCAGAGCATTCAACGAATGATCTACTTACTACTTCGGACAACCAGGGAGGGACGTGTCCTTCTATCCTCCACAGAAGGCTGAGGGCAGTTAAGTAACTTGCTCCAGGCCTGTAGGTGGGTAGTAAGTTTGGGGGATTCTAAGCTCTCAGATCAGGACTGGACAGACCTCATAGAGCAAGTCAGATTCGTAAGTTCTGTCGGAAAGCATGTCACCATCACACTGTGCGGTGAAGAGACCATTTTTGTACAACCTGTGAGCGTGTTTGAAACCATCGCTGGCCTCCTTTGTGTTCCTCTGACACTCTGCTATGCACAGTGGTCCAGGCATCCCCTGGGCATGTGCGGGGAGTGCAGAACCTCAGGTCTCATCCACCTCCTGAGTCAGACCTGCAGCCAACAGCAGGCGGGCTCTGTGCTCACTGAAGCTGGAGAACATGGCCTTGTGGGGCCTCACATTTGCTGCAACCCCCCCCCCCCCCACATTTACGTGCCTCCCCCCCTCTCATTTCTCTTAACTCTGCTCAATGCCCCCTCTCTCAGAGGACTTCCCTGACCTCCTATGAAAAGCAGTGTGGTCTTTCACCCTCTATCTGCTTACCCCACTTTATCTTTCCTCATCGCAAGTGTCACCCCTGAAATCGAGAGTCAATTTCTTTTCCTCCCACTTGTCTGCAAACTCCATCCAGCCTGGGGCTTTGAATCCCCATCACTGAGGACGGTATCTGGGACAGAAGTGCCTGATAACTATTTAATGAAGGACTATATACGATGCAATAAATTAAACGTGAAGACACCTGAGAATGTGAGGAAAGGGACAGGCCCTTTTACACTTCTGTGCTTTTTGCAATTTGTCAAAGAAGTGTGCACTGTGTTTATTAAACATTTTCAAATAAGTGATCCAACCACCTCAAGACACATCAGATCACAAAACAAAGCAGATTATACCTTTCTTTCTAACAACAGTTACAGGCTTTCTGAATGATCAGATTCCATTTTAATAAAAATGGAGCCATCTGTTTTCAAGGGCCTGCTCACTTCCCCCTGAAATGCAAAGACTTTCATTTTTGAAACTCGGACGTGACAACGATGTTACGTGGGCCATGTCCTGCCCCTCTCAGGCCTATAAATGGCCACCTGATTCCTGGAACAGCACAGCCCCCACCCTCAGATCCGAACAACTGCCACAAGGGGCAGGTACACTGAGCAGATTCAAATCAGAGCCCACAGAAGAAAACAATCTTCACTGATGAATCATTTATTTGGACAAGACGCAAACGTCTCTGCATTATTTCCCTTGTATACAGAAAGTGGAACATTTCAAATATATTAGTTTTTCTCTTTTTCAATAGAATTCATTTAATCTTCATCCCAGGAACTGCTTCTCACTTTAGGATTCACGTTTTAGTAACACATATGCGCCCATTACAGCCAAAAGAGCATACTGTAAAGAAAAGAGAATGGAAAATTACTGCGAGGACTACAGATATATTTGGATTGCAAATGTGTTTAGATAAAGTCTGTTCAATATCGGACCCAGGACGGAATCAAAAGATGACCTCTCCCCTTTTGTTCTCCCCATTAGCTGTCAATGCCACATTGTGGTTAAAAACCCAAAAATCTATTCAAGGACTAAGGCCCAAACCCCAGCACACATAGCTAATGCACTGCTCATCCCACGTAGGTTTCTTATTGTTCTTCAAGTGTTTTTAAAAAAAATTTAGATACCATTTTCACTGATCCTGGGAAATTAGCATTAGTGAGTTTATTGTACTTCTTTGTTTCTTTAAGCATTTCCATAATAAAAAGCAACAAACATATAGGTGCCATATTAGAACACATTATGAACATGAGAAATAAAAGTAGCTATTTTAAATCTATAATTGAAATGATTATGTTCCTTTGCAGTTAACAACAAATACTCTGTAGAAAACATAACTAGCAAAACATTTTAAACAAACTGAATCTTTATAGCTGCACATGTAAAAAAATCCATTAAAAAAATACAGACATACATATAAAGTCCTACCTTGAATTTTGGATAGTCATTCATTATTATGGTGACCATACCAACATATGGTAAGAACCTAAATTGTGAGATAAAAGGTCAGAGATATCAAAATTGTTCATAATATGAAAGTAACCTTTGAAAACATCATAAAGCAGCTTTAGGACACAAGTCCTACTTGGGAATGGTATGATTGGGGCTGTCAGAGCAATGGTCTCTCCTGTCTCAAAGACTTTCTCAGTAAAAAGCACCAGAGCGGACAGCCAGGTCAATTTTTAACCAGGCTCTGGATTTTGGCTGGAGATGCTACTCGTCTCCACTGGCAGCATTCACCACAACATAATTAAAATAAATAGCCGAGCCACTTGTACAAATGGAATGGGCAACTTTCATTGGCCTCATTTTCATCTTTTAGTGCCACAGTGAGATTCAGATCCCACTCTAAGAACTGCTGTTAGAGAAATCGTTTAAAGTACACGGGTAATTCTACATCCAGAATCGTCATCGTTTTCATTCCACAGTGCTTTTCAGATGGAACAAACAAGTGTACTGGGCAGTGAACACAAACTTCTATGGCTCTCATCACTATGATCTATGATCCTGTAGAGAGAAGGCTGGGAGCACAGGCTGGCCAACGATCACGCTGACGAAATTAATGCCATTAATGGGAACAAGGCAATACACCCTTAGTCCCCTCCAGTCCCTTTCAATCGGTGGCTTGGAGCTCCTACTTATACAAAACCTATACCAGAGTTTCTAAAAATACAGGACTGACCAACTGGAAGTCTCTCTCATCTCCTGCAGACATTCATGTGGAGATGCAACAGAGTAAAAATGGTTCAAAGGTGAGCAGAGAGAGAAAGGGGGTAGAAAGAGGCTTTACATTACAATTTGATGAATAAAGCTGAATCTTAGAAAATGGGAACCAGTGTTCTCCAGCCTCACCCAGCTGGTGGGATTTAGGTAGGATTTTAAAAAGGCATTTCTAACAAGGGTTAACATAAAAGGGTCACCAAAAGACAGGAGGTTGCCCCCTTCCCCTTTTTTCCCCCTAATAAGAGGATACACTGTCTACGGCCAATGAGAAGCAGAACTCACTGCTGAAACAATTATTCCAAGATGACTATTAAAAGATTTATCACATAACTGTTTTTAATAGTGAAAACAGGAAATCACCTGAATATCCACCAACAGAGGATTAGTTAAATAAGTGGTGATTTTGTAGCCATTTAAAAAGATGTAGATTTGACACTGAAAGCTAGTTCCAACTTCCTGTTGGGTTAAAAATAAATTAAACTCTTCTATGTAAAATTATATATTACATATGCATACACATCTGCACAGGGACAGGAAGTCTCTAGAATATTCATCAAGTATTAAACAGTGGTTATCTCTGAGCGAATCTCTTGTCACTGTTATTTAAGACCAAAGAATAACTACTCTCTAGGTGAGGAATTATTTCAAAACAGAATCAAACCCATGACATAGATAACATACTTGCACTCAGCTTTGATGTTAAGTCCTGGGTCAGTCCTGAGTTTTATTTCGTTATCACAATACAAACCAGAACTCTGACAGCTCTCCTCACATGTACTACTTACAATGAATGATCCTATTATCTCAAGACAGTTAGCTCCTCTGGTTTCTGAATCTTCTATACAATTTAAAAGGTAATCCTCACCCTCTGGCTCTTCCCACCACATCCTTCTTTTCCAGCCAGTTCTGGCCTTCTTTGTATAAGCCTCTGTCATCAACTTCATTATTATCTCCTTTAGTCAGAAATTTGATGTCTCCATTATCTCTGGAAAGCAAAACAATATCTTTTCAAAAATTATTTCCAGCACAGCAGCATTAGCAAAAATTAGTTTATCCAACACTTTACAGCCAGATATGGGCATTTAGAAAGCAGTCCAAGATAACCTGATCTTTCTTGGTCTAAGATGATTGCTTACAGATATCCATTCAACGAAAGCACAAATCTAATGACAGTTTTATAGACTTAATTCTAAAACACTCAAGTTACCCTGACAACTGCAAAATACAAGAGCACCAGTAAGGCAGTGATGTGCTTTCACATGGATTATATTCTTCCCTCTAGACATGAACCTGATCTGAGTACAGATCTGAGCACAGATGCAAGAGTCCCTTTACCTTTACTTCCTTTTCCTTGCCAGCTGCAGAATGTATTAATGCATTCGTTCCTTCACCACTGAGCAGAGTGGTGTAAAATCCAGTTTGCAAAGAAACAGGAATCACAAATGGCACAAAACCAACATTAAAGAGACACATGGGATTCATTTTAAACATCTAAACTGCTGCTCACATTGCCTTGACACTTGAAACACAATATTACAGCATTGTAGAGCTATAAAGAGTCTTCTTTCAGTGGGCAAGTGAAAAAAATGCACTATTATATTTAATAAAAGCTTAAAAGCCCACAAAGACTTGAAACCACACCAAAAGGAGCAAGCTGATTTGCAGCCATGGTCATAAAGGAAATCAAGAGGATAAAAATCAGGGTGGTCTCTCACAAGTCACTCAAATTACCACAAGTCACCGCTATTTCCTCCACTTGGAACAGTTTCTCATCTTATTTTAAATCCGATGAGAATACTGTCACGTTATGACTGAGCGTATTTCTGCAACAGTAAGTTAACAAGTAGATATCAAGTAACATTTGTATATTAACACAGACTTGGAACAGGGTCATTCTAATGTTTAGAGTAAAATGAAGTGGATATTTTTAAGTATCAACCTGTTTGGGGAACCTGGAAGCAGTGAATGGAATGGGACTCTAAATACCAGAAATGTACAAATAGCTATGGTGCACACACATACACCTTGGATGAGTAATGTGCCATCAAAACACAAATATACAAACCTAAATTTAATTCCATAACTCATGCAGGTAAAAATGTCACACTAAGCCTATATAGAGTAAGTGAATAAAGAAGCTTATAAAATGTAACATTTTCACAAATCATGTGACTGTAGTACCTCATGGAAACTTAATGTATTTGAGCTAGAAGTCATTATTTTTGGTTCTCGAGGTGTCTTAATAAGTAATTACTGGCATTTAAAGGAAAGGAAAGGCCATTTTGAGGAATGGGGGTAGAATTAATGCAGGATATGCAAGAATAGAATCATGGGATGAGTTGAGGGGGAAAATTGTTATTCATCCTAGGATAATATTACTGTTGAGAATGCCACTTAGTTCAAAGTGACATAAAATAGAAAACAGGCAGCTTTCTGTATTTCAGAAATGAATTCTTATATAAAAATAATTATAATGGAATTTGATTTTCTTTGGGAATCCTTCAAATAATTAATACTATGCCGCCATATATTCCATCTCACTACGTTCAAGGTAATGTCAGTTCCAAAGTTCTCTTAAGCACCCTGTGAGTTACTGTGGGTCAAGTATATTATTTCTGTCTTACAGACTGAATTATGTATCAGGACCAAAGTCACCCAACTAGTAAATGGCAGAACTAGGAACACAATTCAGTGCTTTTGCACTTTTTAATCAACCATTAAAAGAGTCTACCAAATTTTTACAAAACACCAAAAAGTTTTAAGAAAAGCCTCTTTACTTTTCATGAACTTTGATTACTCTGTGAACTATTGGAATGTCTCGTCCTTCGACCTTAAAAACCACGATTTCACCAGCTCTAATAGGGTCTTCCCGGAAGTTTGTCAGGAACAGAAGGTCACCCCTGTGAAAGGCTGGCTCCATGCTGCCACTAGAAAGAAACACAAAAGCACATCCAAATCACCCTGGGGTCACAAGTGAACATTTCAATTCACAATAAATATAATAATAAACACATGAGTTCGAGTTTCAACTTTCATCCATAGTCCAGTAGGCCTATGAGCTATGAAACAAGCTGCAGTATTTCCTTCTGACTGTGCAAGGTGATAACATTAAGTGAAAAGGAGATGATTTCTTCTTAGACTTAAGTCTGAGAAGGGCCAATATTTAGCCTTAAAAAAAAATCCACATCTATAAACACATTACTATTTCCATTCAGAATTGCACACTGTTAGCTGGTTAACACTCGAGAACAGTTCTTTCATTTCATGGTGTATCCCCAGCACCAAGGACACGACGTACTTGTTCAAGGAATTAAATGAATGCTCTTAGGAGGATGAGCTATTCGCCAGCCAAACTGAGGGTGGGAACAAAATTCAAACCCGAGGCTTTTGGCTCCTGCAGTGCCATCCTTTTGACCATATTCTAGAGAAAGCCCAATTCTAACCAATGATTTTGATGTGAAGGTCAATAAATAATCCCACATGGTACCAGTTTAAACCCATGCCAAAAATCTCCACTGGATTCAAGTCAATTGTTATCTAGTGGAAATTGAAATTATCAAAATATAATTAATTTTACACATGCTCATGCTTTGTTTAATGCATGAGAGAATAAATAAGACTTAGGCATATGGCTAGACAGGTGTCCTACAAGCAATGCTGACTGAGGGCTGGAAGGAAAATGAACCACATTAGAGAAGAAATAAGGAGCTTTAAAGGAAAATGTGGAGTCACAATGAAAGCAGCTTGAGAAGTTGGCTCCCATCCCTCCCAGCCCAGCACACCTTCAACTTGCCAGCACCCACAGAACACAGCAAGGAGAAGCGCAGTGGAGACTGGCCTGGCACTAAGCCCCTGCTGATGTGTTTATTTTTAAATGAAACCAGTGATACTCAGTTTGGTAATAGATCTAGCACTCAACAATAGGAGATCTGACAAAAAAAGGTAAAAATGGTTAGAAATGAGCTAAAACAAATTTGTGGTGGTGGTGTTGTTTTTTAATCTCCCAACTTGGAAGTTTATTTTGTCTTCTTCTGAAAATAAAACATAGCCGAAACTGATTTTGGCTCAGTGGATAGAGCATCAGCCTGCGGTCTGAAACGTCCCAGGTTCGATTCCGGTCAAGGGCATGTACCTTGGTTGTTGGCACATCCCCGGTAGGGGGTGTGCAAGAGGCAGCTGATCCAAGTTTCTTTCTCAATGATGTTTCTAGCTTTCTACCCCTCTCTCTTCCTCTCTGTAAAAACTCAATAAAAAATATATATATATCTAAAAAATGAAGAAAATAAAACATAATTGGTTCAAGGCTTTGTCTCCTTTGAAAGAATAATGACTAAAATGCTTAAGATAATTTCTTCATCGACTGCTTCATCTCTCCTCTTTCAGCAAAACTGCTGAAGACACACATTGGGAAGATGTTTTTAGTAAAAGGCGAAAGATTTGTACGATCTGAAGAGAAACCAGAGTATTGGGAAGATGTTTTTAGAAAGCCACCTTGGTCTCTAGTAACAACTAGGAATTGCAGCTAGAAAGACAGCTCATGGATGAGTCTCAGAGGCAGGTGAGTGCACTGGAGTCTGGCATCCAGAGCCACTGTCATGTCCCATGGGGAAACCAGTTCTTTGAAATGTCTTACTAACATCAGCTTACACTTGCTTTCCTCAAGGGTCAGGCATTCCCCTGAGGTCAGTGTTCCCCAAGGTCACAAGCCTCTCATGATGTCAATAGTTTATGGTGACAAACCAAATTGCTTTAGAACTGTAAAGAATGATTTATTAAAAAGTCTCTACACACTGCAATTTCACAATTTCTGAATATAAGTGTGTGTGTGTGTGTGTGTGTGTGTGTGATTTAAGAAGAAGCAGAACATTTCAGTTCTAGTCGTGGCTCTGCCAAAGTGACTATGAGATGCAGTGCCCTGGCATCGCTGAGCCTCAAGTTCCCTATCTGTTCCATGAGAGGGCCTATCAGAATTTGAGGTTTTTAGTCAGAGAAAGACAAGTACCATATGATTTAACTTATATGGGAAATCTAATGAACAAAAACTAACAAGCAAAACAGAAACAGACTCATAGATACAGAGAACAGACTGTTAGCAGTGAGTGGGGAGAGGGCTGGGGGCTGGATGAAAAAAGTGAAAGAATTAAACAAACAAAACAAAAAAACAACTCATAGACATAACAGTATGGTGATTACCGGAGGGAAGAGGGGTGGGGAGGGGTAAGAAAGAGTAAAGAGTCTGGCTTTGAAGGGTAAAGGGAGAATAAATGGTGATGGAAGGAGACTTGACGTGGGGTGTTGAACACACAATGATGTCATATAGAATTATACCCCTGAGACTTATATAATTTTATTAACCAATGTCACCCCAATAAATTTAAAAAAAAGAAATTAAAAAATAAAATATATTTGAGGTTTTTAATCTCTTCTTTTTTTCAAAAGCCATTAAATCCATCCTTCCAATGAAATCTTCCCAGGAAGTCTAACATATGATACATAAAGAGAAGCTGTCATGACTGATGCAAGCCTGGGGGGTCTGAAATCAATGAGCTTGGGCCCCATTCCCTCCTAAGGGCCTCCATTCCCGCCCACGTGAGTAAGACTGCAGGATCTAAGACACATGTACAGAGAGCATCTTGAAGCAGCTAAGGGTTCCCAGACATGGCTTTTCAATTTCAAACTGATTGCTAAGTTTTTCCCTTTGGATGACTTTGTGGCTACATAACATTATCTAAAGTATCAACTCTTCTAAAATAAATAGGCTGTGCTATATAAGAGTGATAGTCTGAGAAGAGAGTAGCCACCTACCCAATACTGCAGGGGAAGCTTAAAAACATACTCAAGCCCTAGCCAGTCTGGCTCAGAGGATAGAGACTCAGCCTGCGGACCAAAGGGTCCCTGGTTCAATTCTGGTCAAGGGCCCATACCTCGGTTGCAGACTCCTCCCCAGTCCAGGCCCTAGTCAGGGCACGTGCAGGAGAAGGCAACCAATCAGTGTATTTCTCTCTGTCTTTCCCTCTCTCTGCCATTCTCTCTAAAAGAGCAATGGAAAAATATCCTCAGGTGAGGATTAACAACAACAACAAAAAAAACATACTCAATACTCTGCTAGGCACTGGGATGCCTATTTGCTACAATCAAGTAACAGTTTTAAATCACCTATTTAAAAATCAATTTGTACATAAATAATGCATTACTACCATTTGTTACATGGTCTTTTTAGTGGATTAAAACATTAAAATACAAACGTGAATGTTTTGCCCAGGAGCATCAGCATCATCTTGTAAAAACACTAACATGTCTGGAAAAAAACAAGATTTCCAACAAAAGCCAAAAAAATAAAATATTCTCAAACAGGTATCAATAAAGAAGACTCTGTCCAATTACAGCACTGACTCTGGGCTGTCATGCAGGCTTGCCCGCAAGGTGACCCTGACTCTGGGCCCAGGCAGCATGTACAGCTCGTGGGACCTACCTCAGCACCACCACGATGGGGCTCTCGCTGCCAGTGAGGACGATCAAGCCCTTCCAGATCATGAGTGCAGAAGACACGATCATGGCGAAGTTCAAGACCTGGTAATACAGCTGGAACAAGAAAGGCCGACCCAGCGTTAAAACCAAAGGCAGAACGTGCTAACCCTGAGCTGCATGTGTGTTTCTGTAAAATCCCACATCCGTCCATGGAATGAGCCTCCCATATACGTTTCTACTTCAACGAGAGAAAAGGGAGAGGGATGCCAGAGCATTCCATGGGACCTGCTTTGTTAAAGCCTCACTAAGACTGCACTTCTCCGGGGTTTCTCAGCACCTTCCACCCGTGAGGACCCCGCCACTCAAACTGCTGGGAGGGCCTCGCTGCAGTGCAAGCACACAGGCCTGACCTGAGCCCCTGGCACCCACTGCGCAGATCACCCAGAGCCACTCCTCAGTCGCCTGGCCAAAGAGGCCCCGAAGCCTACGGTACTTAGCAATAGCTCTCTTTGTTATCTGAAAGACATGTTAAAAGTCAACAAAAAGTTTAAACACTGGATGATGAGGTTTTCACATGAGTTAACATCATTCTGTACTGACTGCCCCACCTGAGACCACTGAGTTAAGACCCACAGGGCGTGACTTCATCCTTCCCTGTCCCTCGCATGCTGAGGCACAAGGCTCCTCCTGGCTGGCCAATGCCTGCCACTCACCAACCCCTGGGGGACTGAGGGGAAACGCAGCACCTGCCCACAGCACATATCCCTGAGTAGCTGTGGCTGCACTGTTGGTCCAGATGCCCACCATCCTCCAAGAGGCTATGGGGACAAAAGTCACTGTGCCTAGTCTATTGGAAATGTAAGCCCTGGGCACTTGCCCCACCCACTGTCCTCTGGATGGCTCCTTACTGGGGTACCTGCCTCAGTCTCCACAATCCCTGTGGCTGCCCGGGGTGATCTGTGGAGCCCTGTGGCTGGCCCACCCAACACTCCGGTATCTCAGTTCCTCCTCGTCTCCAAGAACCTTCTCCGGCTACCTGAGCCATCCACTCTCAGCCACACACCTAGGACTGTACCTGCTTGATCTCATGTCTCTAACACTCTATCTGACCGCATGTGCCTGCCTTCTGGCCTATGTGCTCATCAACATGGCTCTGTTCCTCTCGGACCTCCATCCTTCACTGTCTCCATCATCAGCATGGGGTCCCTCCAAGCCCAGTAAGCACCTCCTCCCCCAGGCCTGGAAGCCGTACTCCAGGACCCTCCCAAGAATTTTCTTCCAGACCCCCACCAGGGAGAGGAAACCCTCTGCGGGCTCTGGGGGGACAGCTGGGGATCTGGTTCTCAGCTCTTTCATCCCCACTTCCCCTTTACCCCCACTTCCAGAGACACGGGAACTGCCAATTCGTGAGTGTGAGGATTCTGCAGCACAAACAATGAAGTTTTTTCTCAGTTTCCCCCACTGCTGGCTTAGGATTTTGCCTTTTTCTAACTGTCAGCACTCTTTCATCTGTTTTCTAGTTTCTATTTTTTAACTGATCTTGTTTCCTTTCCTGTCTTAGAATAAAAAATAAAAAAAAGTAAAAGCTTAAAACTATTAACTGTCCAGAGAAGAACTGCAAGTAGTAAATGAACATTTAAAATGCTTAAACCAAATCCTGCCTTCACCCTTCCAGCCCCCCCTTTTTTTGCCTAGCACATTTAATACTAATAATCAGTTCTTGGCAAAGGTGCATTTGGGATGCAAGATGACATAATCATCCAGAAAGCAATTTAGTATCAAGAGGTTATTACTCTTGGCCCAGTAATTCTACTTCTCAGAATTCAGTCTAAGATAAAGGCAGATAAGGGGCTATGACACAGGATAGTCTTATTTCTAACAACAGGGAAAAGGAAATAAATGAGCAATAATAGAGAAATTATTGCATAAATAATGGCAAGTTACTGCACTATTTAAAACAATGCAAAAAATAGAAAAAAAATAAGACAATGCAAAAAAATTCAGTGACATGAAAATATTTCATATATATTAAGTGGCCCAGTTGGTATGGCTCAGTAATTGAGCGTCAACCCATGAACCAGGAGGTCACAGTTTGATTCCTGGTCAGGACACATGCCCATGTTGAAGGTTGGATCCCCAGTCGGGGGCATGCAGGAGGCAACTGATCAATGATTCTCATCATTGATACTTCTATCTCTCCCTCTCCCTTTCTCTCTGAAATAAAATATATATATATATATTTAAAAAAAGATATGTTAAGTGGAAAATGTAGGCTGTAGTAAGATCACCACAAACTATAACACAGTTTAGAAAATGCACACAGGGAGATGCCCCCAAGATACTAACAGAGATTACTGTAGCACAGTTGGAATGATAAAGGATTCCATTTTCTCATTTCAGCTATTCTCTATGCTTTAAAATTCCTAGGATGGTCATGGATTAATTCCAAAATGGGGGAGGGGGGGCTTAAAGAAAGTGCAACTGACAGGATATTAACTGCTATTAAAATAATCATTTTAAAGAGTGTGACAAACATGAAAATATATTATGATGTGATACAGAGCTCAAACCTGTCTCTTGCTAATATTACACCTTTGTGAACTTATGTAATTCAAGATATTTAGAAGCATATGACTGAAAGTGGGGACATAAAAAGTGAATTAAATTAACTGAATATATTTTGATGTAATAAATAAAAACAGGAAAATATCAATAAATGTAACTCAAAATTAAAGTTACACACCTTTTAAAAAAAACAAAAAAACTCTTTGGCTATTGTGTCAACATCAAATTATGAAACGATCCTTAAATTCCCAGGAGAGCAGAAAAGGAACCTGGAGTGGTAAGCCGATACTGTTGAAGTATTGGGCAAAGTGCTGCTTCCAAAGTGCTACTGGTCTCCTCACATCCATCTAAAGCAGAAGCTCCTCACTACAGTTCACCAAAAACTTCTCCACCTGCTCTGTCTGAATGGAAGAACTTGATAAACAAACTTCGTTTCATTATGAATTACAGATCTGATTAGGAAAGCCCCAAGTCAGGGTTTTAAACAGAGATTGTCATTTTCAGGAGGTTTTCAAACCACCAGGCTTCACCTTGAAGAGAGCACACTACAAAACCTTGTGATTTACCTAACAAGGGCTGGGTACTAAGAATACACTTTCCAGTATGATTTCCTATGCTTGAAATATTCATCAAGGGGAAGTGAAATCAATTATTCAAAAAACTTCCTTTGAGCAGGATATCTATTAGCTAAAGAAAGGGGCAATTACATAAAAACTGAATCAAGCTAATTGCAAAAGCACAGACCCCACTTCCAACACCCTGTCTTGAAGGAACCTACTAACCTGAGTCCAGGATTGAAATCCAAAAAACATAATTTTGATTGAGCAATAACAAACTGACTTGAACAACAAGGTTACCTTGTTGTTCATCTCTGCCTACTAACTTTGTATGCTTGGCACCTAATAGCCCAGCCGAGTTTAGAAGCAAGTCCACACTCGGTCTTTGTCAACCAATGATAAAACAGCCAATGTCTGAGGGTTCTCAACAAACAGTTGAAACAAGAAATTCTGGCTGACAGAGCAGCAGAAATGCCAGTAGCTGTATTTCTTCCTCTCTTCCTCACTGCAGAAACAAAGAGTCCTTCTTTTTTTTTTTTTTTTTTTTTTTTTTTGCATGTGGCTCTTGCCTTAATTAAGCATGAGCAGGGGCAGCAGAGAAAGGAGTTCCCTCTTCCAGGACTGGTGGAGCATGCATGCCTGACAAGGTTTCACAGCTTACTATTTTGGAGGGAAAAAGAAAGAAGTAAAAGGACAAAGCTTTAAAAAATAATACCAAGAGACAGCAGATATGAGCTTCTTAATATTAATTAAAAGATTAGCAAACATAAGCAATGCAACAGATTCCAATAGTTCTTATCACTGAACTTGGGAATATACTGATCCTTCAGAACGGCTTGGGGTTGATATATTCAAGGCCTTCTCTGATAGTCTGGCATGATCATCATCTGAAATCATACCATTTTAAAGAAATTTTAGAAACCTAGCCAATTAAGTCTAGATTTTTAAATAAATCTTGAGGGCAGTATCAATGCTCAGGACAATAGCTGTTGGTTTCTCAAGCTCGTGATCTTCACTGCCACAACTCATCTTAATCACAGACACTCCCAGAAGCTTATCAGCTATGCATACCTAGAAACAACCACACTCTTAAACACAGTTCATGAGGTTCAAGTCACCAAACCCACATCACTGCATCAGTCTGAAATTCCACTTGGGGGTCAGGTGTGGTGGGGAGGGAACTAAACCACATGCCCAAAGGAATAAGTTGTGCCCTCCATGGGCACCACCTCACTCCTCGATATAACAGGACAAATGAAACAGGATGCCATCAAAATCATGAGAATTGGCACCATTTTCAAAGATAATCGCAACTTCCCAGTAGGAAGGTTCCATTTTTCTTAGCACACTTTATTATTAGAATCAATAAAATTAATTCATAACCATCATGGTATTAATATCCATTCGTGGTATTTGTGCCCTACAGATCCTAAGCTCTAGAAGTTTAAGCAATCTCATTTTTCCTGGAGGAAAGAGCTTCATTTCCAGTCCTTACTCCTCTTGGTTTATATTGAAGAGAAAGACCCAAAGACAGTGATCTAGGGCTAACTAGGGACAGAGTAAGAAGGAAGTTTTCCCCTGAGGGCAGCGAAGAGTGAGAAATCAACTCCAGCTGCCCAAAGACCACATGCTAACTGCCTCCTATATTCGAGGTGCAGCCAGACCAGAGAATCTGAGAAATAAGTTAAGCCTTATTTATAAGTATAATTTTGCAAGTTAGAAGGGAGTTAGGGACTTCTCGAATCCCTTCCGAACACCGATTCAGTCCCCAATGATTGAGCACCACCACGGCGCTCTCTCAGCACAAGGAGCTGTATTCAGTCCGGGTGCATGGCTGGGAGAACACTGCCCAGCATGGGAGGCACTACTGTACAGTTCCCATGGTCACAAAGTTATTTCCTTTCGCCTGCCTTTCTGCCCCTTCCATCGGCGGGCAGCATTCCTCTGGGCGTCAGGCCTCAGGAGACCCACAGAGAGTGCGTTCCGCTTCCACCCGGTGGCCCTTTAAATATGTGCAGACAGCTGTCACTCACCGCAAGTCAACCCTCCCCGCTTTCTCAGCCACATGTGACATCCATGGGACTAGATTTACACTTTCTTACCCTTCCTGACCACCCTCCCCTAACTGGGCTCTTGAAGTGCAAGAAAGCATACACACACGTGCCCACAGGTGGGTCGGTGAGGATTTGAACCCAGGGCCTAGGAGAACCCGGCGCGGGAGCTGCGGCGCCGTCCTTGCTGTAGCCAAGCCCAGGATGCCCTGACTCCCAGGGCGCGCCCCCCACGCGGGCCTCTTACCTGGCGCTTGTTCATCTTTCTCAAGTCCCCGAAGATGTCCAAGCCGGACGTGGGGAGCTGCGTCCCCACGACGCCCGCGCGCACCATGCTGGGGTCTCCGGGCCAAGGGGGGCCCCGCGGGCTCGTGGAGTCCCTGACAGCTGTGGAGCACCCGCCGGGCCCCCGCCCACCAGCCCCGCGTCCTTGCTGGCCACGTGACCAGCAGTCGCTCAGGAGTCTGGGAATCGTAGTCCCGCGAGTCTTGGCCTCCAGTGTACCGGGAAGAAACCGGGGGAAGAAAACTACCACTCCCAGAATTCTGCGGGGCGAGAGCCTCGTCCAGTGAAGACCCAGGGCTCGTAGGTAGGGCAGCGGCGGGGCTCAGGAGCCTTGTCCCACCCTTCTGAGGGAACCTGGGGCAATGGCTGAGCCAGCATTTCGTAGGGGTAACTCGGGGAAGTGACTTCTCAAGAGGAACGGAATTCCCCAAGACTCTGGTCAGGCGCCAAGAGGACACCTAAAACTCCCTCCTTTAACCTAGCCGTGTATCGCGGCCATTGGATGACTGCACGAGGAAGGCGGGGCTTCTACACTCGCCGCGGGCTGTGATGGCTCGGGGAGGAGCCTAAAGATGGACCTGGTAGGTGGGCGGGGCTTGAGAGAGGCGGGACTTTTGAAGCCTTTGAGTTTCATGCTCTGCAAGGGCGATAGGATTTGAATGTAAGGGAGCAGGAGGATACAAAGGTGTATCCTCTTAATCATAGCTGTGTCCCAAAGGATATTAATTGAATGAATAAATAACCAATTAATTTAATACACGAGGAAACAGAGCCCAAGGTTAAGTGGCAGAGTCTGGAATAAAATTCAAATTTTCAAATTTGTAAATCCTGGATTACTACAGACCTGACCCTAGATTCTGTTTAGTTCATTCTCTCATTCATTTATGCATTATTTATTGCGTGCATGTATGCACAAATATTTTTGGGGCGCCTATTTGCACATGACCCTATTTTAGACACCTGAAAGACATCAGTGAACAAAACAAGCAAAGATCCTTGCCCTCATTAAGCTTACATTCTAGCAGGGGAAGACATAAGCACATTATGCAGTAGCTACAGGATATAGGAAAAAGAAAGTAGGAGGAATAAGAAGCTCTGGGGGAAGAAGGCAGGTTGCAATTTAAAATAGTCCAGAAGCTGACTTACCATGAAGCTAATGAAACATGAGTTTTGAGACACTTCACTTGCAAAGGCTCATTCCAAAGACTTGAAGAAAAATGGTCATATGATTTTGTACAACTTTCAAAGCAAGATATTTGAATTGATTGAGTCTTGTTTCTTTGTATTCCAACTTCCCCTCCATTATAGTTTCCCTCATGTTGGAGGGACAACGAGCATTTTGAGTTAGAGATACATTTAGTTTGTGTCTATTGGATATACATATGTGGTTCATGATCATTTCCTGACACCCTTGTGTAGGAATGGCTTCTAAGAATCCTGCTGCCCACTGTGTCAACTCACTTGATATTCCAGCAGGAAGTTGCATAGAGATGTGATTTCCTGATATGAAGGTACCCTAAAGCACTTGGCCTTAGAAGTACGGTGTTTCCCTGAAAATAAGACATCCTCCAAAAATAAGGCCTAACACATGGAAAGATAAGACTTAGCGCAACTTTGGGAGAAAAAATTAATATAAGACACTCTTATTTTCGGGGAAACAGGGTATGTGGATAATAAAGGAGAAACAAGGTTTTAAATGTATGATCCAGAAGCTAATCTGTGTAAAATTCTTTCAAACATCACATGTATAAAATCAAAAGTGGGGCAGCCATAATTTATTCATTTGCCTACTGAAGGACATCTTGTTGCTTCAAAGTGGTTGAGGTCACTGTTTGATTCCTGGTCGGAGCACATGCCAGGGTTTTGGCTTGATCCCCAGTAGGGGGTGTGCAGGAGACAGCCAATCAATTATTTGCTCTCACCATTGATGTTTCTGTATCTCTCTCCCTCTCCCTTCCTCTCTGAAATCAAGAAAAATATTTTTTAATTGGAAGATTCAGTTCTCTTCACTCCATTAGAATAAAACAGTGATAAAATTAACACAAATAATTGCTTGAATTATTATAGATGGTATGAAGATGTTTAGATGTGTTCAGATTCTGGATATATTTTGAAAATGGAATTTTCAGGATTTTTGAGAGATGGATATAATAGGCTATGAGATAAAAGAAAGGAAGTTCGGGCTGACTCCAGGGATTTTAGCCTGACAATTACAAGGATAGAGCCCTCCACAGCTGAGACATAGAGAATTATAGGTGAAGCAGGTTTGTGGGAGAAATAAGAGTTCACGTCACTGTGACCAAAAATCCAGGGCCTTAGGTTTTACTAGCCCAGTGTCCTCAGGCCACATCCTTTGGGCTGCCTACACGCTCCTGCTTAGGCTGAGCACTGTGTAAGGAGTGATGCAGAAATACATAAGGTGGAAATCCCCGAGTATTGTCCAATCTGGGATGAGTTCATTAACTTCCATTAAACCTTTTCCTCATCTATAAACTAAAAACTATTTTGGTGATAGCCATTTTGGAAGGCAGTTTGGCAATTTCTTATAAAATTAAGCATACTCTTGCCATACAATCCCTCAGTCATGCTCCTTGGTATTTACCTAAAGGGATTGAAAATTTATGTCCACAAACCTGCATATAATGTTAATATCAGTTATCTTCATAACTGTCAAAACTTTGAAGCAACAAGATGTCCTTCAGTAGGCAAATGAATAAATTATGGAATATGCCATTGTCAACTAGACAATTGAATATTATTCAGTGCTAAAAAGAAATGAGCCATAAAGACATGAAAAATATGAACCTTAAAAGTATATAATTACATGAAAGAAGCCAACTTTAACGGCTACATACTGTATGATTTCAAATACATGACATTCTGGAAGAGGCAAAACTATGGGAACAGCCTAAGTGCCCACCAGCAGATGAGTAGATTAAAAAACAGTGGTGTATCTATATAATGGGATACTATTCTGCTATAAAAAAGGAGAGTTCTTACAATTTGCAACAGCATGGATGAAAGTGGAGAGCATTATGCGAAGTGAAGCAAGTCAGAGAAATATAAATATCACATGATCTCACTCATTTATGGAATACAATCAACAACATAAACTGATTAACAAAAACAGATCCAGAGACAGAGAAATATCAATCAGACCATCAAATCTCAGAGGGAAAGTAGGGGAGGATGGAGGTAATGGGGAGAGATCAACCAAGGGACTTGTATGCATGCATATAAGTCTAACCAATGGACACGACAACTGGGGGGTGAAGGCATGAGTGGGGGGATAGGGGGGGTGTGTAATGGGGAAATAAGGACACATATGTAACACCTTAATCAATTAATAAATTTAAAAAAAATAAAATCACTTTCCATTCAATTTTCCTGTGAACCTAAAACTGCTCTAAAAAAACAAAAATATTATTTTAAATTAAAACAACAACAACAAAATATTGGTAATATCTGGCCTGTTTGTTATGACAACCACAGCTAGACTGGGCCCACATGTCCAAGTAGGGGCCAGTGGTGGGGCAGTTGATGAAATCTTAGCTCATGCCTGACCCTCAGGGGCCAGTTGGTGTAAGGACCCACTTATGGTTCTTTCCTCAGGTCTTGGGTGACTATTTGGAATAGATATACTTGTCACTCTCAGAATCCCCACATTCTCTCTTTCTTCCATCAGTGAGCACCATGATGGTAGGAAGAGCTAACTAGAAGCCATACAATGCCCCCTCCCTACCAAGATAGCAAACCAGAAGCAATAACCCATCCCTGGGGGGAATGACAGAGAAATGACTTCTCAATGTTACACAATTAGCTAAAGTGGCACACACACACAAAAAAAAATTTTGGACTAGACTTTAAGGAAAATTGCATTTAAAACAATGGTCAGATATTTAAATCTTGTCTACCCAAAGTAAAATGGAGAATTTGTCCCAGGTTTCAAACAAAATAATCTGTGTTTCAGTGTGTGATTTGAGAGCTTGAATCACCCAGCTATTGGCCAATTTCTCTATTTAGAAGCATAAGATATAACACTTCAAAGGGATCCAGAATCCATCTGGGTCAAATTCTGCCCATGGCTGGCATCTCCTCTGAAAGATTGTGCGAACATAAAGCCTCTGTTGAAACATTATTGAACAGCTCTCACATTCTCTAGCAAAAATAGAGCAGGGGACAGCCACTTACCAAAAATCATGCTCACACTGTTTAACACTAGTCCCTTAACAACTAGAAAAGGAGCTCATTTTATAAAGAAAAAAAGCCGTGGCCAGCAGCCAGCCATCCTTCCAACCTCATGCCCCTGGCCCCAGGGCAGGGTCCTCCCTGAGCATCCACATATTCCCTCCGCATGATTGGCCGTGACAGGTGTGATCTTGAAGATCCCTTGTGGATCAGTTCTTGATGCTACGGGGACCCCAATTTTGACTGTTTGACATGCTCTTGCAAAGGAAGTCATTACAGTCAAGTCTTAAAGGACCTGTTTGTTATAACAACCATTGGTCAGGGCACATACCCAGGTTGCAGGCTCCATTCCCTGTAGGGGTTTGTGCGTGATGCAACCAATCTCTTTCTCTTCTCCCTCTCTATTCTTCACTTTCTAAAAATCAGATTTTTTTTTTACAGAGATGAAGCGAGAGGGATAGAAAGCTAGAAACACTGATGAGAGAGAAACATCGACCAGCTGCCTCTTGCACACTCCCCACTGGGGATGTGCCTGCAACCAATGTACATGCCCTTGACCAGAATCGAACCCAGGACCTTTCAGTCCGCAGGCCGACACTCTATCAACTGAGCTCAATCGGTTTCGGCCCAGAATGCATCCTTTTCATCATAGCAGACCCAGTTCGCCTGTCACACTGCATGGTCATCATGTCTTCATGTTCACAGCTTTAACTGGATCTAAGAGCTGCGTCTTATGCACCTCTGGATTTCTGGTACTCAATGGAGCAACTTAGTAAATAGAGCAGGGGACAACCACTTACCAAAAGTCAAGCTCACACTGTTGAACACTAGTTCCTTAACAACCAGAAAAGGAGCTCATTTTATTAAAAAAAAAAAAAAAAGGAATCCAAGATGGCTGCTCGGGTAGGCAACTAGCCGCAGCCGCACACAACAATTTCAACAAAATACAACTAAAATATAAAATGGA